CTGAAAAGGCGGCCGCGGGTGAGTCGGGGAAGGGCCCCCCTCCCCCCCCCCCCGCAGCCGGGCAGGAGAGGACGAGAAAGGCGGCCACGACGACGGCGGGAGGAGGAAAGCGCTGCACCCTGCCTACGCCACCGCCGCAGCAGAGCTCCTCCCAGCCCCGCTCCTCCCAGCTGCTGGCCAGGCGTTGGCGGCCGCCCCTGCCTCTCCTCGTGCGCCCTAACGGCCGGCTCGCACTCTAGGTAAAGGCCTAGTTCGCCTAGCGGGCGAGCCGGCCCTGCATGGACAGGGAAATGTTCAGCAGAAATGGGCAGCAACTGACATCTCAACCTGTGATGAACTGCAAATTTGGCATCACCGTATCTTTCCTTCTGTCCTACGGCTAACCCCAATTCAGTTGTAGAGTTTAACTGGAGATCCATTCTGGGTTTACTGTGGCACAGAGAGATACATATGCCCCAGCTGAAGGACTATCCTTGCATAATGCATAGTAGTAAAATAGTTCAATGTAATGCATCTTAGATGCCCCTTTCACGTATTGTTTGTGATCATTAGACCAGAGAAACTACCACCCTTATATTCCATCCTCACATTCACCAACAGTCTTAGAATTCTGTCTGCCCACAAACATGCCTAAACAACTACCAGGGCTCTTTTTGTAGAAAAAGGCCCAGCAAGAACTCATTAGCATAATAGGCCACACCCAACAGCAGAAACTCATTAGCATATTAGGCCACACCCCCTGGTAGCACAGCTCATTAGCATATTAGGCCACATTCACAAGCAACATACAACCCAGAAGACTAAAGCTGCATCAGAGTTTGTAATTCTCCAATAATTAAACAAATTCTGGAGCAGAAGGCTATGGGATATTATAAATGATAGCTAGAAGGAACTTTAATGACCAGTATGCCAGTTTCTGGGGTCAAACAACAGGATATGGCTGTCCCCTCCATGATTTGCTGATCAGGTTGCAGAAACAGCTGTCTGTCAACTGGTAAAACTGTCAAACTAGAAGAAACCATCAGACACATTAAAATAATCTCCACACATTATTAGTTTATAGTATGTAAAGACAAAATCCAAATCTCCAAATTATGCTGATTCCTCCTAGGTGTATTATACTCATTCATTATACACCTTACGACCAGGCCTCCCAAAGAGAAATACAGATTTTCTTTTAAAGGAATACCAAAATATTACAAAATCACAGACCCTATCAAGCCATCATTGCAGTTGTTTTCATCAAATATATTTTATCTGTGTACTCTTCTTTACTTTATGAAGATTTGTTTAGCCTTGCTAGAAAAGTATATTTTCTGCCATTGAAAGACCCTGAAGAAACAACAATCTATGCCCCCCCAAAAAATGGTTCCATGTACAGGACCCTTTCACAATTGGCTGCTGCATACATAAAATGATGCTGGGCATACTGTTTTGAGTGGTAGTCCTCTGTATTCAGTATAATAAGGACACTACTGGTCTGGTAGTATATTTGCAGCAGGGACCAGTCAGATCTTTCTGGGAAATAGAGCAGAAATGAAATAGCTATTTTTGTTGTTTGATCCTAGTAATCTGGCATTCAGTGGTGTAGCATTTCTTCAACAAGAAATTCTTTTTTTTTTCTGTAACAGGTAATAGACATAGAAAGATCTTTTCCTAGGAACTTGCACAATCTCTTTTTAAGAGCCAGGGTGGTAGAGTGGAAGGAGTGGAAAGAGAGTCACATTTGGACAAGAGGGACCCAGAGTAAAATCACCCTTCATTCAAAAAATGCACAAAGTGGCTTGGGCCAGTTGCTTTCTCTCAGTCTAACACTTAAGAAGAGGGCCGGTTTTAAAAATTCATCATTACTGCATTAATATTTTGAAAGTTTAACTTTTCATAATGTATCTGGGGAGTAATCCCCAGTGCAAGGATTTCATGATGAGTGGTGGTGGTGGTGACATTGTTCACGGCTCCCTCATTCTTACATGCAGAATATGAGGGAGAGGGAGAAAGAAAGCGAGAAGGAAAGAGGGAAAGAAAGAGAGAAAGAGAAGGAAAGAAGAGAAAGAGGGAAAGAAA